ATAGCGTCAATGACTTTTAGAAGACTTGACAGAGTTTCAAGAAAATGCTCACTGGGCTTTTTTACCTATCCTGCTGCAGAGGTTCTTTGTTTTTTTTCGACGGAGGGAGTCTCACTGTGTCACCCAGTCTGGAGTGCAGTGGTGCGATCTTGGCTCACTGCAACCTCCACCTCCTGGATTCAAGCTATTCTCGTGCCTCAGCCTCCCGAGTAGCTGGGACTATCGGCGTGCGCGACCATGCCTGGCTAATTTTTGTATTTTTTTTTTTTTCTAATAGAGTCAGGGTTTCACCATGTTGGCCAGAATGGTCTTGAAGTCCTGACCTCAAGTGATCCTCCCACCTTGTCCTCCCAAAGTGCTGGGATTACAGGCATAAGCCACCCGCACATGGCCTGAAGTTCTTTCTTTCGGAAAATGTATTCAACACATTCCTTCGTGTGTGTGTGTGTTTGAGTGAAGAGTGTGTTTCCACACAGCTTGCAGATACTTTCTTCCAGAAGCTTGTTTGTTGCTAACATTTAACATCTTAGTATTACAGCTTAGTTTTCTCTGATTGAATATGTTGATCTCTTTTTTTTTTTTTTCTGTCAGTTTTTTTCTTAAGTCTTTACTTGTGTAAGCTCAGATAACTTAGTCTAGAATGTAGGCTTTTTCTGGGAATCTCAGCTGAATGGTTCCATTTGCTTGGCTGTTAAATGAACCATACTGTTGTGGAATAGTTTCCTAATTCTGGTTGTACATGTGCACTTCGGGTAGAGAATTTTCTAATAGACAAACTTTCAGACAAAAAATTTATTATTCCTCAAATATATCATTAAATTTTATTTAGTCTGCAATAATTTTATTGCTTCTGAAACCATTTTCTAGTTCTATCATGTGATCATGGTGCTTTTAAACTTTAATACCAATTTAAGAATGATTTTAGCTTAGGCCATTCTGGGGGCTTAGCCTTTAATGTGGAAAGAAATTTAGAATCCTTTAGTTTCAAACATGTGATTTCTTAAAACTTGTTATCAGTTATTTATATGATTTTAAGTTTATTATGAAATAGTCTTTAAAAAATATTTACTTTAGTGGAAGCATGTCTAGTGATAGTTTAACCAGAGTGCATACCAGAGTACATAATAGTTTTTGGAATATTCTTCATAAATTTTCAGATAGATTATTTAAACCACATGACTGTTTCTGAGCTGCTGTTGATACTAGGGGCTAGGCGTATTAGTTTAGTTTTTTCTTTTTCTTTTCTTTTTTTTTTTTTTAGACAGAGTCTCGCTCTGTTGCCCAGGCTGGAGTGCAGTGGTGCAATCTCAGCTCACGGCAACCTCCACCTCCTGGGTTCAAGCGATTCTCCTGCCTCGGCCTCTCAAGTAGCTGGGACTACAGGTGCGCACCACCACACCCGGCTAATTTTTGTATTTTTAGTAGAGATGGAGTTTTACCATATTGATCAGGCTGATCTTGAACTCCTGACCTCGTGATCTGCCTGCCTCAGCCTCTCACAGTGCTGGAATTACAGGCATGAGCCACCGCGCCCTGCCATTAGTTTGTTTTAAAGGAGACATAATGTCCGTTGAAACATCAGAATGTTTTAAGTACTGACAGCTTGCAGGTGTCTTTGGAGTGAAGTTTAGAAACCTATTGTGACCATTCTTCATTTTAAAGCTGTGACTAAGAACTCTGAGATATCGGTACCTTTGCCTCAAGTGCTGCTGATGGCTTTGAATGGCATTGAGGTTGCCAGGCCTGGAGGAGGGCTGCCTTGTGCTGAGTAGTTAAATCAGCCCCCTGAAAAAAGTCAGTGTTCAAGGATTTTAATAGGCTCCTCCTTTCCTACTCCCATAACCACTTATATTTGATGAATCTTGACAAAACAAGTATGAAATGCAAATAGAGAAAATAATATAATTGAATAGAGCAACACTTTTCTCTCTAGCAGCCCTGATTTCCAGATTATCAGGACAATATCCCTTATTTCATTCTTTTTAAAATCTTGATTCTGCTCCCCAAGCACACACACTCTTTACCTTATTTAAATATCCCCTTTGCAAAAATGGTGGATTTCTTTTAGCCGGCCAGGCGCGGTGGGGCTCATGCCCTGTAATCCCAGCACTTTTGGAGGCTGGAGGTGGGCGGGTTCACGAGGTCAGGAGCTCAAGACCATCCTGGCTAACATGGTGAAACCCCGTGTCTCTACTAAAAATACAAAGTGGTGGCGGGCGCCTGTAGTCCCAGCTACTCGGGAGGCTGAGGCAGGAGAATGGCATGAACCTAGGAGGCGGAGCTTGCAGTGAGCTGAGATCTGGCCACTGCACTCCAGCCTGGGTAACACAGCCAGACTCAGTTTAAAAAAAAAAAAAAAAAAGAAAAGCATAGCATTTTAGGTACTTGTGGATCTCTTTAGCATTGATTCCTACCAGTTAACTTATTTTAAATGACACCCTCATGCACCAATATCATATACTTAGGATTGTGAAATAGCTTAATGATGCCACTGCTGCTTCTTGAGGTTTGTCTCTGGTATCCTGGAGAAACTAGTTATGGCTCCTGATAAGAGATTAGCATTTTTCCTGAGCAGTAGCCAAGTCTTTACCTGTTTATCTCGTATCCTGCAACCTGGAATATACCCTCCGAGAGGGCAGGGCCTCTTTGTTTTGTTCATTGCTGTACTCTCCTGTGCCTCCCGCGGTAAGTACTTAAGAAATACCTGTGAAACACATGAATAAAGGTTAATGAAGGGCAAAGGAAACAAGCCTTTATGGATGATTTTTCTCTGTGCCTGATAATACTTGGGTTATTTTTTCATGTCCTTGACTCATCCCGAGTCTAGGAGATAACTCTTAACGTGTTCCTGATGAAGAAGCTGAGTTGAGGAGTAACACCCCAAGGGTGTCACCCTAAGACTGGGCACCTAAGTACCCCAGCCTGCTCTTCAGGTTTGTAGCCACTTAGTGGCCATCAGACCTTCCATCTCCCGGCTTTTAAAGGCCTGTGTATGTGGTTTGGTTTCTTGGCAGGTGGGTTTGATGGGTTTCCAGACCTAGGAGTTCTTGGCGCCTTGTCTTCCAGTACCCCAACAGGGCTACTGTGGCTCCTCCATTGCTGAAACTAGTTCAGGGTGGGGGAAGAGGACATGTTGTGGACCTGATGGTTGGTTTTGTGCTGAGTCATTGCCTTGGTGCACTGTGGAAGGGAGCTCTGGGAAGTGGAAGCCTCCTTCTGTGAGGGAGTGCTTCTGTCGTCAACAGGGTATTGCATAGGCTGCATAACACTGCTAGGTAGATAAATATGGTGGTCTTACCCCAGGGCCTCCACAACTCCTGGATGGGCCTAGCCTAAGCAATTCTGATTTAACTTATTGCCCCTCCTTTTAGCAATACTGTTGAGTTAAATAACAGCTTTTGCATTTAAAATAATAAAAAATATTTTTGTAGATATGGGATCTTGCTATGTTGCCCAGGCTGGCCTGAAACTCCTGGCTTCGGGTGATCCTCTGGCCTTCGCCTCCCAAAGTACTGGGATTACAGGCATGAGACCCTGGCCTGGCCTTTATTTTTTACATTTTGCAAGGACATTTTAAGACACTTTCTTCGTTTTCTGTTTTTACTCCTGCTGAGGAATTGATCCCCATTTTACAAAATGGACAAAACATTCTCCCCAGGGCAGAGTAGACATTTGAGAATAATTGTTTTTGCAGAACCGGGAAACCACCTATTTTTTCCCAAGTATACTGGTTGATGCATTAGCAGTTACTCACTATCTGCTTTTCCAGAGGTTTGAACGATGAGTGTGAATGCTTGGTGTAGTGAATTTTGTGTGATTTCGAATGTGATAGTTGACTCATTGCACAGCTCTGTCTTGCAAGTTCAGATCTGAACTGTAGCTCTAAGAGGTAAAAGCAGAAGTGGAGCTGCCTTTCGTGCCATAGCTAGCTTTTTAATAAAATAGAGTTAAAAAATCCTTTGGCTTTTCAGCATTTTGGTGTGATTGGAAAGGCTATTACTATCTTATATTCAGCATGAGTCTTGAGCAATTACTGATTAATATGGTTTGGCCGTGTCTCCACCCAAATCTCAGCTTGTAGTTCCCATAATCCCCATGTGTCGTGGGAGGGACCTGGTGGGAGGTAATTGAATCATGACGGGGGTTACCCTCATGCTGTTCTCGTGATCATGAGTGAGTTCTCACGAGATCTGCTGGTTTTATAAGGGATTTTTCCCCCTCTTGCTCCGCACTTCTCCTTGCTGAAAAAGGATGTGTTTGCTTCCCCGTCTGCCATGATTGTAAGTTTCTTGAGGCCTTCCTAGCCATGCTTAACTATGAGTCAATTAAACCTCTTTCTTTTATAAATTACCCAGTCTTGAGTATGTCTTTATTAGCAGTGTGAGAACAGACCAATACACTGATCTGAGTTGATATTCTTAAATTAATGGTAAGATATTTCTTTCTTTCTTTTTTTTTTTTTTTGAGACAGAGTCTTGCACTGTTGACCAAGCTGGAGTGCAGTGGTGCAATTTCGGCTCACTGCAACCTCCACCTCCCAGGTTGAAGCAATTCTCCTGCCTCAGCCTCCCAGGTAGCTGGGATTACAGGCATGTGCCACCACACCCAGCTAATTTTTGTAATTTTAGTAGAGACAGGGTTTCATTATGTTGGCCAGACTGGTCTCGAACGCCTGACCTTGTGATCCACCCTCCTCGGCCTCCCAAAGTGTTGAGATTACAGGCCTGAGCCACCTCGCCCAGCCAGATATTTCTATTTTGATGATCTTTGAGTCCTGAGGTAGCTTCAGAGTGGATTGAACCAGAGACAGATGGTGTTAGTAGTTTCTGCCCTGGCTTCTTTGCAACTTAACATACTTGACTTTTTAGTGTTTTTGGCTAAGGAAAGTGTATTTTCTAGTTTGTGGCAGTTTTAAGCAAATGTGGCTTGAATAAAACTAGAGAGAAGTTTAATTTTTGATAAATCAGTGACAGTGACAAGTTGTTTTTCTTCCTTTCCAGTTATACATGGGAAGCTGTTGATACCAAAAATAATGTACTTTATAAAATCAACATCTGCGGAAGTGTGGATGTTGTCCAGTGCGGGCCATCAAGTGCTGTTTGTATGCACGACTTGAAGACACACACTTATCATTCAGTGGGTAAGTAAAACTACCTTAAATTACTGGATTGGCAATATGATTCCTCAGTTTTGCAAAAATGACTGTGTATAGCTGTATGTATATAGCTATACAAAAATTATGAATGTTTAGAAATTATAAATGTTTATAATACATAATACACATTTGTTAGTAGTCAAAAATGATAACGGTTTGAATGTCTAGTATGAGCTGAAACTAGGTTAGTCCTGTCTAGTGGATACTATGCAGACAACCGTTATGAAGAATTATGTGGATGTGTATTTGATATTGAAAGATGTCTCCTAGATGGCTCTCCCTTCTCACCCACGTTTTTCTTAAACCCTGTTTTTATATTCTCCCCCAGCCCCCATTTCCTTTAGTGCTCCCCGCACTCCCACTCCTTTGTGCCTTCCAGTTTTGGCTGTGGTTCCCAGACAATATGTGTGCCATCAAAGATGGTCACTGGAGTTAGGCTTACATTAAAGGTTAAATAGTCCTGAGGATTGGCAGTCTCAGAGAAAAAGGTGCGGCCCCTTCTTTCCTAGGGTTCATTTCATTTCCCCAAATGTATGCCTTTTGGATCAGGATCGCTATCCTGTGAAGAATATGAATCTAAGTGGATTGATAGCACCAGGTTACATGGAGTGGGGTCAGGGCAGATACCTGAAGGAGGGGATGCAGGATGGACAGAAAAGCAGGACACATTGCCCTTGGATTTGGCAATATGGATGTCTGTGGTGACCTTTCAGTAAGGCAGTTAGAATAATGAAGTTTGACCACAATGGATGGTCGTGACATAGTGATGGTATGTGACTAGCGATCGTCTGATAACTAGAAGAGGATGCTAGCTAGGCTTTTGGATTTGGGAGAGAAGCTTACTGTGGTAGCTCTGTCATTTTGTTTTGTGTTTTAAACATTTTTACATTTTTACAGATTTGGGGGTTCAAGTACAGTTTGTTACGTGGATATATTGCATAGTCGTAAATCTGGGTTTTTAATACCTGTCACCTGAATAGTGTTTTTTAATACCTGTCACCTGAATAGTGTACATTGTACCCAGTAGATAATTTCTAATTCCTCACCCCCCAACCTTTCTGAGTCTCCAGTGTCTGTTATTCCACTGTCCATGTCCATGTGTACATATTGTTTAGTTCCTACTTATAAGTGAGAACATGTGGTATTTGATGTTCTCTTTCTGAGTTATTTTACTTAGGATAATGGACTGTTGTTTGATTCATGTTGCTGCCAAACATGTGATTTCATTCTTTTTTATGGCCAAGGTATGGAATTTGACCATAAAAAAGAATGAAATCACACACACACCCCCCACATTTTTTGTTATCCAGTCATCCATTGATGGACACTTGGGTTCATTCCACATCTTTGCGATTGTGAATAGTGCTGTGATAAACATTGAGTGCAGGTATCTTTCTGATATGATGATTTTTTCCTTCAGGTGTATAGTCAATAGTGGGATTGCTGGATGGAATGGTAGTTCTATTTTTAGTTCCTTGGTAGATCTCTATACTGTTTTCCATAGAGGATATCCTAATTTACATTCCCACCAACAGTATGTAAGCATTCCCGTTTTTCTACATTCTTCCCAACATCTTTTGCTTTTTGACTTTTTAATAATTGCCATTCCGGTGGGTGTAAGATGATGTCTCATTGTGGTTTTAATTTGCCTTTCTCTGATGATTCGGGATGTGGAACATTTTTACATATGCTTGTTGGCCATTTGTATATCTTCAGAGAAATGTCTGTTTATGTCTTTAGAGAAATGTCTGTGCATGTCCTTTGCCCTGTTTTTAAAGGGGTTCTTTTTTCTTTTTAAATTGTTTTGAGTTCCTTGTAGATTCTGGATGTCAGTCCTTTGTCAGACGAACAGTTTGCAAATATTTTCACCCGTTCTGTAGGTTTTCTGTTTACTCTGCTGTGCAGAAGCTTTTTAGTTTAATTAAATCTTGTCTATTTTTGTTTTGTTGCATTTGCTTTTGAGGTTTTAGTTACGAAATCTTTGTCTAGGCCAATGTCCAGGATAGTGTTTCCTGGGTTTTCTTCTAGAATATTCATAGTTTCAGATCTTACATTTAAGTCTCCAACTTTTGTGTATGGTGAGAGATAGGGATGTAGTTTCATTCTTCTGCATGTGGCTGTCCAGTTTTCCCAGCACCATTTATCGAATAGGGTATCCCTTCCCCAGTGTTATGTTTTTGTCCGCTTTGTCAAAGATCAGTTAGTTGTAAGTATGTGGCTTTGACTCTGGGTTCTCTATTCTGTTCCACTGATCTGTTTGCCTATTTTTATATCAGTACCATGCTGTTTGATTACTATAGCCTTCAGGTATAATTTGAAGTCAAGTAACATGATGCCTCTGGCTTTGTTATTTGCTTTTGCTATTCAGGCTTTGGCTACTCATATTGTTCCATATGAATTTTAGGATTGTTTTTCTAATTCTGTGAAAAATGACTTTGGTACTTTGATAAAAATTACATTGAATCTGCAGATTGCTTTGGTCATTATGGTCGTGTTAACAATACTAATTCTTCTAGGCCATGATTTTTGCATGTATTCATTAGGAATATTGGCCTGTAGTTTTCCTTTTTTGTTGTGTCCTTGCCTTGCTTTGGTATTAGGGTGTTACTGGCTTCATAGAACAAGTTAGGGAGGATTCCCTCCAACTTTATTTTATTTTATTTTATTTGCAGCGAGCAGTTTCAGTGGGATTGGTACCAGTTCTTTGTACCTTTGGTAGAATTTGGCTCTCAGTCTGTCTGGTTCTGTGCTTTTTCTTGACAGATTTTTAAAGTACTGATTCAGTCTCACTACTTGTTACTGGTCTTTTCAGGATTTCTGTTTCTTCCAATTCAATATTGGGAGGTTGTATGTTTCCAGGATTGTATCCGTTTCCTCTAGGTTTTCTAGTTTTTGAGTGTAGAGATGTTTATAGTAGCCTCTGATGATCTTTTGTCTCTCTGTAGTATCCGTTTTAATGTCTACTTTTTCATTTCTGATTGTGCTTGTTTGAATTGCATCTCTTCTTTTTTTGGTTGAGTAGTGGTCCATTGATTTTGTTTATCTTTTCAAAGAACCAACTTTGTTTTGTTGATACTTTGCATTTTTTTGGGGGGGGTCTCAGTTTCATTTAGTTCTGCTCTGATTTTTGTTATTTCTTCTGTTAGGCTTCAACTTGGTTTGTTCTTTTTTTTTTTTCAAGTGCCATGAGGATTATATTAGGTCATTAATTTGTAATCTTTCTTTTTGATGTAGATATTTAGTGCTATAAACTTCGTCTTACCGCTGCTTTGCTGTATCCCAGAGGTTTTGGTCTATTATGTCTCTATTTATATTCATTTCAAAAAATTTTCACATTTCATCCTAACTTTGTCATTGACCCAAAGGTTACTCAGGAACAGATTGTTTAATGTCCATGGATTTGTGTAGTTTTGAGAGTTCTCCTCTTGGAATTGATTTCTAGTTTTATTCCACTGTGATCTGGGAAGATAGTTGATATGATTTCAGTTTTTAAAATGTATTGAGACTTGTTTTGTGGCCTAACATATGGTCTGTCCTGGAGAGTGTTCCATGTGCTAAGAGGAATATATGTCCTGTGGTTGTTGGGTAGCATGTTCTTTAAATGTCTTTTAGGTCCATTTAGTCCTGAGTCCGATTTAAGTTCAGTGTTTTATTGTTGATTTTCTGTCTCGATTATCTTTCTAGTGCTATTAGTGAGGTGTTGAAGTCTCTCATTATTGTTACATTGCTGTCTGTCTCTTAGGTCTAGTGGTAATTATTTTATGAATCTGAGTGCTTTGGTGTGGGGTGCATTTGTAGTTAGGATGGTTATATCTTGTTGAATTGATCCCTTTATCATTATTTAATGGTCTTCTTTTCGTTTTCTCTTTTAACTGTTGTTGACTTAAAAGGCTGTTTTGTCCAAGTATTTCTTCTCCTGCTCACTTTTGGTTTCTATTTGCATGGAATATCTTTTCCTACCTCTTTACCTTGAGTCTTTGTTTTTACCAGTTACGTGGTTTTCTGTAAGCAACATATGGTTGGATCGTTTTTTTTTTTTTTGTAGATATGTGAGTTTTATACCTTTTGTCTGGGTTAATTCAAACCTGTCTTTAAGCTGTCAGATTCTCTTTTCTGCTGGTCTAGTCTGCTGTTCAAGCTTTCAATTGTATTTTGTAATTCCTACAATGAATTTTTTATTTCTGGAATTTCTGTCTGGTTTTCTAAAAAATAGCTATCTCTAGTAAAATTTTAATTTAGATCCTGTATTGTTTTTCTGGTTTCTGTTGGTTTTTTGACTTTCTCTTGAACCTTATTGTGCTTCTTTAAAATCAATATTTTGAATTCCTTATCTGGTATTTCAAGGATTTCATTTTCATTAGGGTCCACTGCTAGAGAGTTAGTGTGAGTCTTGGGGATGTTGCAGCACTCTTTTTTTTTTTTTTTTTAAATACTTCTAGAGTTGTTACTCTGCTTCATTCTCATCTGGATAAACTGTCTCTTCTTTATTTTTAAATTTACTTTGGCAGAATTTTTTTTCCCTTGAGAATGTGAATATAATGTATGTTGTATATAGTTGTTTGACTTCAGTTCTGGTTGCTTTCAGTGACAAAGACTCTGAGTTTCTTGGTTATAGATGGCCTTTTTGTGGTAGCTTTCTCAAATGCTAGTGATAGTAGTGATGTGCTGGGTGTGTGAGCAGGGTCCTCACCCATCTCCCGCTGGGCCTGGAAGGCAGAGTTCTCAGGAAGTTATCTTGTTCTCCTTTGCTTTGCACTTGTGGCAGCAGAATTTATATTGGGTTGTGCAGGCCAGCAGGTGGTATTTACTGGTAAAAGCCAGCTGCAGTGGAATCCGATGGGTTTATGCATGACCTTTGTTTATGGGGGAAGCTCTGTTGCTTCAGGCAGTGACGTGGTCTGTGGAATGCACAGTGGCCTGAGCTCCCTGCTCAACCCCCTGAGTGGGGGATAAAGCTAAACTGAACTGCCAGTTCTCTTGGATAC